GTATTTAGATATCTCTGTATTTAGATATCTCTGTATTTAGATATCACTGTTTTTAGATATCTCTGTATTTAGATATCTCTGTATTTAGATATCACTGTTTTTAGATATCTCTGTATTTAGATATCACTGTATTTAGACATCTCTGTATTTAGACATCTCTGTATTTAGACATCTCTGTATTTAGATATCTCTGTATTTAGATATCTCTGTATTTAGATATCTCTGTATTTAGACATCTCTGTATTTAGACATCTCTGTATTTAGACATCTCTATATTTAGACATCTCTATATTTAGATATCTTTGTATTTAGATATCTTTGTATTTAGATATCTCTGTATTTAGATATCTCTGTATTTAGACATCTCTGTATTTAGATATCTCTGTGTTTAGATATCTCTGTATTTAGATATCTCTGTATTTAGATATCTCTGTATTTAGATATCTCTGTATTTAGATATCTCTGTATTTAGATATCTCTGTATTTAGATATCTTTGTATTTAGATATCTTTGTATTTAGATATCTCTGTATTTAGATATCTCTGTATTTAGATATCTCTATATTATTTCATCTATGTATTTGTTTCACATACACCACATATTCCATAGAGTGAGATAAATGCATATTACATCTTCAGCTATCTAATTATATCTATTCGTACATCTATGGAAAAATCTACTCGTTATCTCTCAGTAACTTTATATCTGTTTATACATTGTTTTATAACCTGACTGTCTCTTGATCCATCCATCTATATGAATTTCTACCCGTCTGTCTGTCAACTTGGCTGCTCTTCCGTCTATCTGCTTGGCTGCCCTTCTGTCTGTCAACTTGGCTGCTCTTCCGTCTATCTGCTTGGCTGCCCTTCTGTCTGTCAACTTGGCTGCTCCTTCCGTCTATCTGCTTGGCTGCCCTTCTGTCTGTCAACTTGGCTGCTCTTCCGTCTATCTGCTTGGCTGCCCTTCTGTCTATCTGCTTGGCTGCCCTTCTGTCTATCTGCTTGGCTGCCCTTCTGTCTATCTTCCTGGCTGCCCCTCTGTCTATCTTCCTGGCTGCCCTTCTGTCTATCTTCCTGGCTGCCATTCCGTCTGTCTGTCTATTTGACGGCCCATCCTCCTATCTACTTGCCTGCCAATCTGTCTATATTCCTGGCTGCCTATTCATCTATCTACCCCGTCTCTACCCGTTCATCTACCTGTCTCACTATCCGTCTATCTACTCCCAACCCACACCAATTAAGACCCCCCCCCCTAGCGTCTTAACACATCCTAACAATCCAATTAGATTTCAACAATGTCTCACACTGTTTGTTATTTCAGATTTTTAGCTACTCAGAACGAAATATCCATGTAGCACGGGCTAAGGTGATCCCGTAAGTCTCTCACACACAAACTCTCAACTCTTTATATATCCATTCCATTATCATCTGACCATTATTCTCAGATTTTTAGCTACTCAGAACGAAATATCCATGTAGCACGGGCTAAGGTGATCCCGTAAGTCTCTCACACACAAACTCTCAACTCTTTATATATCCATTCCATTATCATCTGACCATTATTCTCAGATTTTTAGCTACTCAGAACGAAATATCCATGTAGCACGGGCTAAGGTGATCCCGTAAGTCTCTCACACACAAACTCTCAACTCTTTATATATCCATTCCATTATCATCTGACCATTATTCTCAGATTTTTAGCTACTCAGAACGAAATATCCATGTAGCACGGGCTAAGGTGATCCCGTAAGTCTCTCACACACACAAACTCTCAACTCTTTATATATCCATTCCATTATCATCTGACCATTATTCTCTTACTTTCTCCAGACCCTCAGAAGAAAAAAAAAATGGCCATGTACAGAAAAACTTTACTGGAAAACTGTGATTCTATTTTTTTTTTTTCCTCGTTCCTTCTACAAAGAGCTTTCTTGGTATTGTTCCTATTTTCATAAACTTGTCTGTGACACAAAGTGGCAGTCCACACACACTCACACTCTCCTGTCTCGGCGAATATACAGAGAAAAAAACATTTTTTTCTCTCTGTTGCGGCATTTCCTTTTCAGGCATTTTTCCTGTGCTTGAGTTACCGCTGGAGTTTATGTGTCCGTTTTCTGTGGGATTATTTTTGTTTGGGGGTGTGTGTTCCCATTCTCTGTCGAGTTAGTTGTTTTAATGTATTTCTTGAGAAGGAAGTTTAAAAATTAACTGTTCAAAAGCTCATTTTTACATATAAATATATATTTAATTCATCTTAATAAATAAATATCTGCATATTTTCCTATGTAAGGAGAATAATTTAACACCAAAGAAAGTGGGAAACAGAAAACGATAGCTCAGTCCTCTCAAAGAAAACGTGCGAGAGGAACTTAAATCACAGGAGTTCCGGCGCGAGGCGTCTTAGGAGGACAAACTCCTAACTTAGGATTTCCGGATCAAGTGTGGAATCCTTCGGGAGTGGAATCCTATACGAGGTGGAGACGGGTGAATCCCCCGGCAAATAGGATCGAGAACCTGAAATGCGGCTGTTTTGTTGTCTCTGGCATCTTGATGTTGACGGGTTTTGACGGAGGGAATTGGCGTCCGGGGAGCAGTCTGCTCCAGCTGTTTCTTTCTCACATATATGCTATGATGACAAGTCCAGGAGCAAGGAGGACTACTTATCCTTGTTTGACAAGTCCTGGCCATGCTAGACTACTTATCCTTGCTTGACAAGTCCAGGCCAAGGAAGACTTCTTATACTTGCTTGACAAGTCCAGGCCAAGGAAGACTACTTATCCTTGCTTGACAAGTCCTGGCCAAGGAAGACTACTTATACTTGCTTGACAAGTCCAGGCCAAGGAAGACTACTTATCCTTGCTTGACAAGTCCAGGCCAAGGAAGACTACTTATCCTTGCTTGACAAGTCCTGGCCATGCTAGACTACTTATGCTGGCATGACAAGTCCAGGCCAAGGAAGACTACTTATACTTGCTTGACAAGTCCAGGCCAAGCAAGACTACTTATGCATGACAAGTCCTGGCCAAGCAAGATTACTTATGCTAGCATAAGAAGTCCTGGTCAAGCAAGATCTTATGCTTGCTTGACAAGTCTAGGCCAAGCAAGATTACTTATCACTTGCATGACAAACAGGCCAAGCAAGACTACTTATCTCTTGCATGACAAGTCCGGGCCAAGCAAGACTACTTATCTCTTGCATGACAAGTCCGGGCCAAGGAAGACTACTTATCTCTTGCATGACAAGTCCGGGCCAAGGAAGACTACTTATCTCTTGCATGACAAGTCCTGGCCAAGGAAGACTACTTATCTCTTGCATGACAAGTCCTGGCCAAGGAAGACTACTTATCTCTTGCATGACAAGTCCGGGCCAAGGAAGACTACTTATCTCTTGCATGACAAGTCCGGGCCAAGGAAGACTACTTATCTCTTGCATGACAAGTCCGGGCCAAGGAAGACTACTTATCTCTTGCATGACAAGTCCGGGCCAAGGAAGACTACTTATCTCTTGCATGACAAGTCCTGGCCAAGGAAGACTACTTATCTCTTGCATGACAAGTCCTGGCCAAGGAAGACTACTTATCTCTTGCATGACAAGTCCGGGCCAAGGAAGACTACTTATCTCTTGCATGACAAGTCCGGGCCAAGGAAGACTACTTATCTCTTGCATGACAAGTCCTGGCCAAGGAAGACTACTTATCTCTTGCATGACAAGTCCGGGCCAAGGAAGACTACTTATCTCTTGCATGACAAGTCCGGGCCAAGGAAGACTACTTATCTCTTGCATGACAAGTCCGGGCCAAGGAAGACTACTTACGTCCTACTTGAAGATAAAATTTATCTTTAACCGGCAGCTAAAATATTTTCACTTAACACTTCTGTTTATAATATTTTTTCCCTTCAGGTGAGTCTCCTGACTCATCTGTGCCCTTTTACTCACCTGGCTTCCTCCTCCTCCTGAGTCAGATGAGTCAGGTGAGTCAAAGAGCCCCAGGTGATATAAATCAAAGCATTAAAGCTGTCTACTACCTTTCCGGGCTCGCCATAGCCCGTGCTACATGGACGCTTCGTTCTGAATAGCTAAATCTTAAACAACAACAACTGGTTACTATAACACACACCTCATATACTCAGGTCAAAGGTCAAACGAAGGTCAAGCCCCATTTTTCCATATTACATATCCGAGGCACTTACCCATGCCCCACAAACCCTATACCCAGTCATTCCCATGCCCAAGGACCCTTATACCCTCCTGACGAGGGCCAGTACACACCTGTTGTGTGTACACACCTGTTGTGTTTACACACCTGCCTTAGCATCTCCATCTCCCTTTGCCCCCCTGCCTTAGCATCTCCATCTCCCTTTGCCCCCCCTGCCTTAGCATCTCCATCTCCCTTTGCCCCCCCCTGCCTTAGCATCTCCATCTCCCTTTGACCCCCTGCCTTAGCATCTCCATCTCCCTTTGACCCCCTGCCTTAGCATCTCCATCTCCCTTTGCCCCCCTGCCTTAGCATCTCCATGTCCCTTTTCCCCCCTGCCTTAGCATCTCCATCTCCCTTTGACCCCCCTGCCTTAGCATCTCCATCTCCCTTTGACCCCCTGCCTTAGCATCTCCATCTCCCTTTGACCCCCTGCCTTAGCATCTCCATCTCCCTTTGACCCCCTGCCTTAGCATCTCCATCTCCCTTTGACCCCCTGCCTTAGCATCTCCATTTCCCTTTGCCCCCCTACCTTAGCATCTCCATCTCCCTTTGACCCCCTGCCTTAGCATCTCCTTCTCCCCCGCAGGTGAACGCAGGAGTCTGCGTGGCGGCGCAGAAGGTGCTGCTGGACATGCGTGATGGAGTCAAACACGAAGTCATGAGTCGACATAAACGAGACTTGAGGGGCGCGGTGTCGCTCCTGCCTCTGGAGGGCGTCTCCTGGTTCCTGGCGGTGGTGGCGCTGGAGGACCACCAGAGCCTCGCCCTCGACTGCGCAGCTGCGCTCGTCAGCGCCGCCCTGGTGAGTGGTGGGGGTGTGTGTGTGGTGGGGAGGGGGTGAGAGGGTTTAGAAGCCAGACGCTTGGGGCTAGCTTCAACAATTATAACGGTAATTGCTGGCGGGTACGTGCCCAACATTGTCTAGTTGGGATCGGTATCAAAATAACTATTAAGTGACACTGCTAATCTCACTCTCATGAAGATTGGTCAATCTTATGTGACTAATCTCTGATTTATTAATGTTATTATATATATTATTTTTTTAAATTGTTTACGCTGATGTTGCAAAAATTTAAATAAATGTAATGATAATATTTACCTTGTAAACCACAAGAGAACTTTTATGATAGGTGATTTTTCCTTAGACTTCATGGATTGTAGAACGGGAAGGTTTAATGCTGAATGGCTGAGCAACAATGCTTACAATCTCATCAAACTTAACATTCCTTTTAAGTACAATCTACCAGTCTCTGATATTCCTCTTTATCTGTACCTCACCATTCAAGTATCATACACACCTGTCACCAAGAAAGATAATGAGAATCTTGCTCTTCTCAAAGCTGTCACTCTTGAAACAATTGCCTCCTCCATCGAGAGTCTAAGATCTCACGAGCACTGTGTCTACACCGACGGCTCAGTCCAATCCTCTACTGGACGGACTGCAGCGGCATGTAGGTTTTATAGAAATAATATTTGCCCAAAGACTGTCAGTGTCAGGTTAAACAACTGGCTGACCTCCACACAAGCAGAACTAGCAGCATTACACCTAGTTACCAGTACATTAAAAAACATTGGAGGAGGAATAATATTCTGTGATTCAAAGTCTGCTCTTCAAGCAATCGAAAACTTCTCCTGGAAGATCGACAGCAAGAAGCTCATACTACCAATTATAAATGACCTAATTGATGCACAGAGTAAAGGGTTTCTTTACTCTGTGCATCAATCTCCTTTGTATGGATACCATCACACATAAATATAACCCATCATATTGAGACAGACATTGCAGCCAAATTAGCGTGTGACAAAGATAAAGTTGAATTAGATCTAGGTATCCCCATCTCTGCTGTCAAAACTGTATTGTTCCAAACACTCAGGTCTGATAGGAGAGAAATTACTGACTCCCAACGACCTGAAAGCACCAGTATAAAAAGTTATGATTTCTTCAGATCTGAAACCTATGTTTATGGGCAGCACAAAACGTGGACCAGACTGTGCGACACAGTGGTTGCCAGGATCAGGTTGGGTTACCGTTACCTGTGGCAGGTGGCTACCGTTACCTGTGGCAGGTGGCTACCGTTACCTGTGGCAGGTGGCTAGCGTTACCTGTGGCAGGTGGCTAGCATTACCTGTGGCAGATGGCTAGCGTTACCTGTGGCAGATGGCTAGCGTTACCTGTGGCGGGTGGCTACCGTTACCTGTGGCAGGTGGCTACCGTTACCTGTGGCAGATGGCTAGCGTTACCTGTGGCAGATGGCTACCGTTACCTGTGGCAGGTGGCTACCGTTACCTGTGGCAGGTGGCTACCGTTACCTGTGGCAGGTGGCTACCGTTACCTGTGGCAGGTGGCTACCGTTACCTGTGGCAGGTGGCTACCGTTACCTGTGGCAGGTGGCTACCGTTACCTGTGGCAGGTGGCTACCGTTACCTGTGGCAGGTGGCTACCGTTACCTGTGGCAGGTGGCTGCAGGTGACGGGTCTCCCAATCCTGAACACTCCAGTTGCAAACTCTGTGAGCAGGAACTGCGGCATGATCTCCCGCACTTCATCACTGAATGCCCAGTTATCAGACCTTTCAGACCCGTTGGCATGAGGTACCTGGAGCTTTGTAATTACTTTATTACCTCTCGTGTTCTTGAAGATATCCTCATAATGCACTCAGAGTCTGTCAGTGTAGGCTACTGATCACATGCCTCTGTATGACTAACCATCCTGTGTGATGGGGATTTTTAGCATCACGTAGCTAGCTTTTTGACACTGTACTCCCCTTCATATAGTCTAGGGTAGCTGCACAAATGCAAATGTACCTAAGTGAGTTAATGAACCAAAATGGAGAAGGAAGGAGAGATGAAAGAACATGGGAAGAAATAAGGGAAGTGGGAAGAAAGAAGAAAAGTGGGAATGAATGAAGTGGTCGGGAAAAAGGGAATATACTTACCTTTTAAACTTGTTTCTACCTAAACACTGATGTGTTTACGTAGAAGTGAGGACTCTAGCTCTTCGTCCCCTCCTCTACCAGTCTTCTTGTAACTGTTTTAATTTAGATATTCTGATTTTTCGAATTCTTGGTCGAACCTGCCCTTAAAATTTTAGATGGAGGTGTCTTCCACTACTTCTTCTTTCAGTGCATTCCGTTATTCCTCTAAGTATCTTGCATCTTGTGATCATATCCTCTCTCTCTTTCTCGTGATAGATTTATGTAGGAGAATATACTAGATATCAGGGCTGGGTAGAGAGACGGCTATAGTAACGAGGTTAAGATGGATAGGAGACGATAATAGATTAAGGAAAGGATAGAGGAAGGATGGATAGGAGACGATAATGGATTAAGGAAAGGATACAGGAAGGATGTAGGAGGAGATATCTTGATAGAAGGGAGTGCAGATCCTCTGAGGGGGATTTACCAAACAGCTTGAAAACATCTTTTACCACAAGAAACTTAACCATTTCCTCAGTAGTTCCTCTGGTCCCAACTTCTGTGTCTCTCGTTATTGAGTTCTTTCCTATCTCTCTTATCTATCTCTCGATTTTCTCCGTTCTTTCATCTATATTCGTTTTATTAAGGAAATGCGCATATAGTCTCCATTCCTTTATTAAATCGTGTGGGCTCTTTATGACCTATTTCTTTAACTATTTATGTCTTCTAAAGCTCTTTATTTCTATTCCCCCTTCTTTCCCTTCTCTCTCTTTCTCTCTTTATCCTATTTTCATGGTTCCACTTCAACTCCTGTTTATTTCAGGTGTGTTTCACTTAGTGGCTATCATGGCATTTTTCTCAAGTAATCTCTCTATCACAATCTTTCCTCTCTGAGACGAGGTATTTTGTGAGTCTAATATTCCTGTCATAACTTGTAATATTCTTACCTTGATTTGTAATATTCGTATCTTGATTTGTAATATTCTTATCTTGACTTGAAATACTCTTATCTTGATTTGTAATATTCGTATCTTAACTTGTAAAATTCTTATCGTAACTTGTAATATTCTTATCTTGACTTGGAATATTCTTATCTAGATTTGTGATATTCTTATCTAGACTTCACCATATATCTCTTTTAAGACTTTATAGACCTCTGTTTAAGCACCTGACTGACTTATAAGTCAGATCAACCTGACTGATCCTAAACTGTACTCGGTCAAATGGCTAGCAATTTAATTAATTAATTAACACTTTCGCGCTAACCGGACTCACCGAGGAGTCCTGTTTCGTCTAACGCCACCGCATAGTGGACATAAACTTATGTCCTCTTTTAAAATATTTGTATAAAATTCAATTTTTATCCGATTTACTTTGGGTTTGTTTCAAACTGCGCGCCATGAGGCTTAACTGGCTGGTCAGTTAGACTATGACTGTCTGGGTGAAATGTGCTGACCATATACAGCCTGTTTACAGTCTCTCTCTCTGAGCTCCTTATCCACAAACTACCTCCTCGTAGGGGCCTCGTAGCCTGGTGGATAGCGCGCAGGACTCGTAATTCTGTGGCGCGGGTTCGATTCCCGCACGAGGCAGAAACAAATGGGCAAAGTTTCTTTCACCCTGAATGCCCCTGTTACCTAGAAGTAAATAGGTACCTGGGAGTTAGTCAGCTGTCACGGGCTGCTTCCTGGCGGTGGAGGCCTGGTCGAGGACCGGGCCGCGGGGACACTAAAAAGCCCCGAAATCATCTCAAGATAACCTCAAGATAACCCCATTGGAATTCACTCATGAACAAGGGGATTTGCTTTTCAAATTGTTTTAAGATTCAGAAATAAATAATTAAGAGCTCTGGGATGATTTGTTGCACAATAGAGGCTCTGTAGAGGCTCTTATACTAGGCTCTATACGTAACGTTTACAATGGTAGTTAGGGGGTAATAAGCATTATGTGTAGAGTCATTAGCAATGTTTACAAGGGTAATTAAGGTTGGGAACATAAGGTTTTTAAGTGCAGTTAGGGTGAAAAACATAATGTTTACAAGAGTAGCTCTATTGCTTCCTATTCAAATGGACTCTTTTGTTTAGTGTTTAAAAAAAAGAGCATTTTTTCTGATAGAAAGATTTATAAAGAATCTGATAACTGCTAAATAATCAAATAGATAAGAGATATGAGCTACCAAATAAAGAATTAGAATGAGAGACAGCAAGAAAAGAAGCAATAGGAAGCAAGAGAAGAAGAGAGCAGGAAGCAAGAAGATAGAACTATTAAATAAGAGAAACAATGGCTGCAGATCAAGAAGAGAATATAGAGACCTGACAGAGAAGAGAGAGAGGAGAATATTCCTCTGCAGAGGTCAAGTCTCTCAGGGTTCGACTCCCAGGGTGGAATATTGACCTGTATGACAGACAGGATCAACCCTCACTAATCTTCCTGTCCCTCAACCCCCTTCCTGATATTGAAGGTGCTGTCACTTTTGCTACCGTCATATTTAGGTCGATATTTGCTTGTATAGGAAGCATGCTGGTAGTCCTTGTATAGGTCTACCAGCATGTTACAAAATCACCCTGTTACAAAATCCCCCCTGTTACAAAACACCCCTGTTACAAAACACCCTGTTACAAAAACACCCCTGTTACAAAAACACCCTGTTACAAAAACACCCCTGTTACAAAAACAATCCTGTTACAAAAACACCCTGTTACAAAAACACCCTGTTACAAAAACACCCTGTTACAAAAACACCCCTGTTACAAAAACACCCTGTTACAAAAACACCCTGTTACAAAAACACCCCTGTTACAAAAACACCCTGTTACAAAAACACCCCTGTTACAAAAACACCCCTGTTACAAAAACACCCTGTTACAAAAACACCCTGTTACAAAAAC